CCTAACCCCACAGAGCTGCCCTTCGCCAAGTACAGGAGGCCTGGGACTGGGTACTGGGGGTGGCAGGCAGCACTGTACCCTGTGGGAGGCAGGCACCAAATCCTCCCACTTAGTCACTGTGGCCCCTGCCTCTGGTCTGTGCAGCCTTGTTCCCAGCCCAGAGGGCTCTGGTGGCAAGGCTGGCAGCCCGGGCTCGACGTGAGCTTGCTGTGGGGCTTTGCTCCTCCTGGGGCTCCCAACCCGCTCCTTCGCAGCTCCCCTTCTCAAGGAGCCCAAGCCCTGCCCAGCTGTGAGGGCCTGCTCCCTGGAGGCCTCCTTTAACTCCCCAGCCCACAGGGATGGACCCAGGACCCCCATATCTTAGACTCCATGGGGGATTTCCCCAAGGAACACCTGAGGGAAGGTCAATGTGACCTTTGTCCCTCCCTTTTGGATAGACACAGCCACCCTTTCTCCCCACCCCAGCAGCAGGGCTGTTGCTCAGTGACCCTGAGATCGGTGATGCAGAAAAGCAGAGGCGGGTGTCACTCTTTATTGCGGGGTCCACACTATGGGTGTTGGGGCTCCTCCCACTGAGGGAAGCCTGAGCCTCTAGCCGGGGCTGGCCTCCTGGCCTCCTATGAGTCCATTCTCCTTCTGTCCCCTTAATCTCAGGCTGAGCATTTGCACTGGATCTCTGGGGGCCTGTGAGTCCTCCTTGACCTTCATTGCCCACTACCATGTGCTTGAGAGCATCACAAGTCAGTAGCAATGAGCCAGGCGGGTGGTGGGTCACCTGGCGCAGCAGGCCTGGGGTTCAGGTCCCAGCTCAGCAGCTGTGGAGTCCCAGGTGGAGGCAGGGGTGGTGGCTGGGTTCACAAGCAGGTCATGGGAGATGGGGTCGACCAGGTTGAGGAAGGCCACATCTCTGTAGAGGATGTCAGTGAGGAGGGTCCCCTCAAGGCCCAGGTCCTGTGAGTGAGTGGTGAAGAGAAAGCTGAGTGAGCCAGTCGGGTCTCCCATCTCCAGGCCCCACCCCAGCCAGCCAGATGCTGCTTATTGCTGTTCCTGTCTCTCCATCTCCTCCCTAAGGTTGGCTGTATTCTCCCCACAGGCGGCCATGGGCTAATTGTCCAGTGGTGGGTGAACCCTTTCATTTTTCCTTACTTATTTCTTTTTTGAGACAGAGTCTTGCTCTGTCACCCAGGCTAGAGTCCAGTGGTGTGATCTCAGCTCATTGTAACCTCTGCCTCCTCAAGGGATCCTCCCACCTCAGCCTCCTGAGGAGCTGGGGCTATAGACAGGCACTACTACACTCAGCTAATTAAAAAAAATTTTTTGTAGAGATGGGGTCTCACTATGTTGCCCAGGCTGGTCTCAAACTCCTGGGCTCAAACGATCCTCCCAACGTGCTGGGATTACAGGTGTGAGCCACTTGGCCTTCGTGGACCCTTTGGATAAGTACAGGGGAGGGGCATGGGAGCCATCAGGGAAGTGATAAGTGAATTCCAGAACCCTTAGACCAGTTCCCTCGAGGTGAAGTGTTGCGCTGTGACACTGCCTTTTCTGGGCTTAGGGCTTGTCTGTGGGATTCTCCTCTTATGGAGGGGGGTTTGCTCCACTTTTGACCCCTCAAATTCCCCTGTTCCCCAGCATTCCCTTCAGACCCTTTGCCTTCCCACGTATCCCTTGGTTTTCCTGAGCTGCTGCCAGCATCTGTTTGCGGACAGGTCTGGATCCTTCCCTTGGGGGCGGACCTCTCTCTCAGATGTCTCAAAGGCGTGCTACCCTGAAGCCGGCCTCACCACCCATGCCCCATGCCCCAGTTCAGTGTAGGGCGCTTCCATGCCCATCTTCCCAGGCACTGGGGCCGGAAGCCCTGGAACCCCCCAACACTCTGCCCTCCTTCTCTCTTCCCCAGCTCACCTAGTCATCCCTTCTCTCTCCCCACCACTCCTGCCAGGATTCAGGCCTCCAGCCTCCTCTCCTACCCATCCCTCACCCCACCGCCTGCACAGACCTGCCCTGCCATTCCTGCCTCACTCCTCCACTTTCTCCTCCTGTCTACTCCCACAGGACTGGTGTGGGGCTGAACACTTTCAGAGGGTCTCTCTCTCTCTCTTTTTTTTTTTTTTTGTGGCGGAGTTTTGCTCTTGTTGCCCAGGCTGGAGTGCAATTGCTCACTGCAACCTCCATCTCCTAGGTTCAAGCAATTCTCCTGCCTCAGCCTCCTGAGTAGCTGGGATTACAGGCATGCGCCACCATGCCCAGCTAATTTTGTATTTTTAGTAGAGATAGGGTTTCTCCATGTTGGTCAGGCTGGTCTCGAACTTCCAGCCTCCGATGATCTGCCTGCCTCGGTCTTCCAAAGTGTTGGGATTACAGGCGTGAGCCACTGTGCCCGGCCCAGATGGTCTCTTTAGAGGACACGTTGACAGTTGATGGGACAGCCACAGCGAGGAGTGGCCTCTAGACCCCATGTGGGCCTTCTCCAATCCATAGGTGATATGCTGTGTGCGTGGGTCCCAAGCACAGGAAGTTGGGCCAGGCAGGGGAGTCCGTCGGTCACAGCTGGAGGGTCCCTGCAGGTTATGGAGCAGGATAGGCCCCTCCCTTGACCTCAAATCCCAACCTCTGGGACAGAAAGAGGTGACCTAGCTGGTCTCTGAGGATCCTTCTTTCCCTCCAGTTTCCCAGCTAAAATGCCCAACTGGTGTCTTGGGCTCCAGACGGCATCCCAGACTGAGATCCCTGCCTCTGGGTGCCTGGCTGATTCAGTGCTGCTCTGCTGTTTGCCACAGATGCCAGCTAGGGAAGATCCAGAAGGAAGGCTGGCTGATGAGCCTGGCAGACCCAAACAGGGCCCCACGCTGCAACCTGCCAGCCTACCTTCCGAGGGTCTAGACAGCTCCTCTTAAAGGGACAGCTCCATTTTTCCAGCCTGCTGAACCCAGAGTTGGAGGAGATTGAGAAAGGAAGACAGGAAGAAGGGCTCTGGCCCTGGCTTGCCCCACATTTTCTCTGTGGACCCCGGGATGACCACTTAGCTACATGCCTCAGTTTCCCCATTTCTAATTATCTACCTTCTGCAGGCCAAACACCTGCACGGCTGACTTTCTGCTCACAGAATGGGGCAGGTAGTGGTGGTAGCTGCTGCAGGGGGTGGGGACGGGGTGGTGAGGGAAGTGGCTTGCCCAGGTGATGGGGGGGACCAGCATCCTGGGACAACCCAGGGCTTGGGATCTGGGTTTAGTGTACCTGATGTGTGTAGGAGCAGGGCCACCACCGGACCGAGTGTTGTGATGCACAGATGCTGGAGGTGTGTACTCTAAGAGCATGAGCTGCCTTTTGGAGAACTGGTGATGCATGCGATGGCTCTGTGTGGGCTGCCATGGTGTCTTGGGGTGAGGCTGCACCCGCAGACCAGCCCTGGGTCCTCTCCAGGGTCCAGTGCCTCCCCGATCCTGGAGGAGGGGGAAGCTACCCTCTTCCGTTGTCTCTCAATACAAGATGATTAGCCCTCACTTGCCACTCCTCCCGGGCCCCTCCCATCTTGCCAGGGCCTGAATCTGGGCTCTTAGCTCCGGGCTGGGGCCACCCTCAACACACACAACCCCTCTCAAACCCCAGAGACCCGGACACACTCAGCGGCCCCCTCCTCCACACACGGTCCGCCGGCCTCACCCAGCCCTCACGCCAGCCGGCCGCCCTCTAGCCCACTCAAGACCCCGCGCGCAGCAGCCCGTCGCGCCCTCGGAACCCGTCCGCGCGCGCCCGAGACCAGCTCCGCCTCGCCTCCCGGCGGATACATGCCCACAACCCACAGCCCCGCGCCTCCCAGACCCCCAGACCCTCCCTGGCCACCAGCCCTGGGGCTGCCGGCTCCTTCTCTCGCCTGGCGCAGCAGCGGCAGCAGCTGCCGGGCGCGCTCTGGCCGCCGCTCGCGGAGCGTGGACTGGATTTCATGGGGCCTGGAGCCACCGCACTCAGAGCTCGAAGGGCGCGGGCGCAGCCGGCCGCCGCCCAGGCCTCGGAGCCAGCCTCGGGCCGGCCAGCCGGGCCGGCCAGCCAAGCCAGCCGGCCCAGCCGCGCCCCCACGGCGGCCGCGGGTCGGGCGCCGAATCCACAGGAGGCCGGACGGTCTGCGCCCCGCCCCCGGGGCCGCCCCTAGTCGCCCCGCCCCCATCCACCCCGGCCCCGCCACGTCCGGATCCGAAGGCTGAGCGCCGGCCCTACCCGGCGCCGGAGCTGGCCAGTGGGTTCCTCGGTTTGGCCAGGTCTGACTGGAGGAGGCCCTGCCTGCGTCACTCTTGGCGCCAGAGCTCTGTCCCGAGGGCCTGGAGCCGCCAAGGGAGACGCGAGCTCGGCCGGGACGAGGTGGCTTTTGGCACCGCTCTACCCTCTGGCCCCAGTGCTGACTGGGGAATAGTCGCTTTGACGGTGCAAAGAGCATTCCAGGCGGGTGTGGGGGTTCCACTGCGTGTACCAGCATTAGGTATTGCCCCCACCTGCTTTTAGAAATCTGCCCTGCATGGTGAATCTCCGTCTCTACTAAAATACAAAAATTAGGCCGGGCGCGATGGCTCATGCCTGTAATCCCAGCACTGTAGGGGGCCGAGGCAGGCGGAACCCAAGGTCAGGAGTTCGACCAGGCTGGCTAACATGGTGAAACCCCGTTTTTACTGAAAATACAAAAAATTAGCCGGGCGTGGTGGCGGGCCCCTGTAATCCCAGCTACTCAGGAGGCTGAGGCCGGAGAATCGCTTGAACCCGGGAGGCAGAGGTTGCGGTGAGCCGAGATAGATGGTGCCACTGCACTCCAGCCTGGGTGACAGAGCAAGACTCCATCTCAAAAAAAAAAAAAAAGGAATCTTCCCTGCAGCTGGCAGTTGTAGTGTAGGACCTGCTCACACTGCATGGACACTCCTGCACTGGCAAATATTTACTGCCACCTGCTTCTTGATTTGGGGCAAGCCCCCACCTCTGACTCCAGCCTGGGGAATAAACCGGATGAAGAGTGAGGTTAACCGTTAAGCCCAGCTCTGGGCAGGCTGGCAGCAGGCAGGCTGTATCTGCCACTGGCTTCGGTCTTCCTCCCTGACAAGGGGTGGGGTGGGGGGTAGGGGGCAGGCAGGGTGAGGTGGGGGCCCTGGTTCCTCTGAGGACCAGGGTGAGGTACTGACCCAACCAGCTCAAGGAGTATCCCACTTTCCAGGGTTCCCTCAGCAGAAATCTAGGTCTCTGTTGGAGGCCTGCTGGGCCCCTGCAGCCCCAATCCCAGCTCTGGGATCCTCACAATGTTTGAGGCACTGATCTGCAGTCCCCACTTCCTCAAGCAAGGAGCATGTGTCTAGCCTGTGAGGATGGGTACCTGTTGTGCAGGAAGGGCTGAACACCGTCCGAGGGCATATAGTGAGGGATGACAGCCAAGCTCCTGTGTGTGTGTGTGTGTGTGTGTGTGTCTGTTAATTACCCTATGAAGATTCAAGGTTCCTTCCTTTGGGTTAAGCACTGCCTGCCCAGAGATGGCAGTGGGGAGAGGGTAGGGTGCCAGGCTCTGTCATCCTGTGGGGCTGGGTCCCTGAGACAAGGCAGAGGACAGCAGGATGTCTTAGCTCTTGACCATCCACGGACCTCCAACCCCTGTTGGGCCTGTGCCTGCATCCCCTTCTCTCCTGGCACCTGCCAGCTGGACGTAACAACCTCTCCTCCCGCTTCAGTACAGCCAGTATTGTCCTGGGGCCACCTTGGCACCACAGGTTTCCTCCTTGGCAAACCTGCACGACGGCCTTGCCTGCCCTCCCCCAGGGCCAAGGTGCTGTTGCTGAACTGAAGTGGCGACTGAAGTGGGTCAGAGCTTTAAGCAGCAGCCCCAGTGCCCCAGGGACCTCCTAGACCCCCTGCCCAGAGCAGGCAGCAGGTAAGCCCTCCTCCCCTTGCCCTGCAGCCTCAGGGCTGGAGCCAGAGCTGGGAGGGCTCCCAGATCTTGACCATATCCTCCCACAGACTGAGCCAGGCCTGGACACTGTCCCCTCGAATGTGAGAAGACTGGGCGGAGGGACGGGGGAGGGAGGAGGGGATGGAGGGCTAAGCATCGAAGCATGAAAGGGGCAACCTAGGCAGTGGTATGGGGGAGTGCCCAGAGCTTAGAGTCCTGTGGAAGGCAGAGAACTGCCCCAGCCCCTGCCTCTCATCCTCCACCCTCTGTGTCCCTCGCTGAGAGGTTCCTAGAGGACGTTTTTCCAGCAAAAGAGGGAGGGTGGTGCCTGGGCCTAGATCCTTGGATGGGCTTTTCTCTGCCTACTTGCAGGGCGCCTAGGGTAAATGGGCTCTTGGAGACAATTTCTGACCTAACCTGACTTGAACAGGAACCCCCAGAGGCAGAGCTATACCCTCAGGCGTGGGGGCGTGATTCCACCTCGCCAGCCCATGTGTTCCACACGGAAGGCTGCTGGCCCCTCTCCCTGGGGTTACCCTGAGCAGCAGAGCTGTGCTTGTTGAGACCCAGGGGGTGGAGGGATCGCGATATTGTCCTCTCAGCTGCCAGGGCTGATGTGGGAGCTCAAGGGCTTACCCTGGATCCTTTTGGGTAGCCCTGCCATCCCTAGGGAGTCAGTGAGGTCAGAGGTTGGGAGCTGGAGAATCAGGTAGGGAGGACACAGCTAGACCTCAGGCTCTAATGGGAACATACTAGGCTCCAAGTGGGACCTGCCAGGAGACAGGAATTGATGACAGCCACACCTTTGGAGCCTCAAGCCCTCTGCCACCCATGCAGTGGCCCAGTTCAAATGACAGGAACACAAGGTCCAGTTGGCTCAGTGGGCTGGTAGAGGGCTGTAGCCAGGGCTGGAACTGGCCTTGCACTGCCTCTGGTCCCTTCTCTACCCACCTGGTGGTATTCTTCAAGCCTAGGAGGAAAAAGGCCAGCTCAGGGTTAATGTAACCTCAGCATGTAGCTGGGTGGCACTGAGCCTCCTGGCAGCCACTGTAAAGAAGGACACAGAATGATTTGGGGGGCATTCACTGGGAGGAAGGAAACAGATGGATACTCTAAGGAGAGAGGATGTCCCCTGCGCTTGCTCTACAGTTATGGGTTGTCAACCTTCTGCAGGGCCAGGAATTGTCATGAGGCTGTAGTAGGCAGCAGAACTTGGCAGGGTGGGTTGAGATCACAGGTATAGGCTCAGGGCCTGGATTCAAATCCCCTGGGCTGCCACTTGTTGGATGTGTAACCACAGACAGAGTAAGGACCTGCCATAGCAAATTACACAACCCACTTCTGTGGCTTAAAGCAACAGAATAGTTCTGGAGGCTAGAAGTCTGAAATCCAAGTATAGGACAAGGCACGCTCCCTCTGAGGACTCCAGGGGAACATCCTTCCTTGCTTCTTCAGCTTCTGGTGGCTCCTGGCAATCCTTGATCAAGGGGGCCAGCCCCTCCACACCTGTGGGTGGTTCTCGTCAGGTGGAATGAGAGACTTGAGAAAAGAGAGAGACACAGAGACAAAGTATAGAGAAAGAAAAGTGGGCCCAGGGCACCGGTGCTCAGCATACAGAGGACCCGCCCAGGCACTGGTCTCTGAGTTCCCTCAGTATTTATTGATCATTATCTTTACCATCTTGGAGAGAGGCATGTGGCAGGACAATAGGGTAATAGTGGGAAGAGGGTCAGCAGGAGAACATGTGAACAAATGTCTCTGTGTCATAAACAAGGTTAAGAAAAAGGTGCTGTGCTTTGATGTGCAGCTACATAAACATCCGGGTGCATTAAAGAGCAGTATTGCTGCCAGCACAGGCTAGCACGGCTCACCTCCAATCCTAAGGCGGTTTTCTCCTATCTCAGTAAATAGAACATACAATCCGGTTTTACACCGAGACATTCCATTGCCCAGGGACGAGCAGGAGACAGATGCCTTCCTCTATCTCAACTGCAAGGAGGCCTTCTTCTTTTACTAATCCTCCTCAGCACAGACCCTTTATGGGTGTCAGGCTGGGGGACGGTCAGGTCTTTCCCTTCCCACGAGGCCATATTTCAGACTATCACATGGGGAGAAACCTTGGACAATACTTGGCTTTCCTTCCGCAGTGTCTATGTCCCTGGGTACCTGAGATTAGAGAATGGTGATGACTTTTAACAAGCATACTGCCTTCAGGCACTTGTTTAACAAAGCACATCCTGCATAGCCCTAAATCCATTAAACCTAGAGTAAACACAGCACATGTCTCTGCAAGCACAGGGTTGGCGGTAGGGTTACAGATTAACAGCATCTCAAGGCAAAAGAATTTTTCTTAGTACAGAACAAAATGGAGTCTCTTATGTCTACTTCTTTCTATATAGACACAGTAACAGGCTGATCTCTCTTTCTTTTCCCCACACTTGGGCTTCCTTGGCTGTAGCTGCATCATTCCAGTCTCTGAAGCCATCTACCCTGTGTGTCTGTGTGGCCTTCACATGGCCTTCCTTATTTTTGCCATGGGGTCTCACTATGTTGCCCAGGCTGGTCTTGAACTCCTGGGCTCAAGCAGTCCTCCTGCCTCAGCCTCTCAAGTAGCTGGGATTATGGGTGAGTGCCACCATGCCCAGCTCACACAGCCTCTTTGTAAGAAGTCTAGCTACTG